TGGGATTTAGAAAATTAGATTGAAATAAAGATCCAAACAAAGGGGCTGGTGTGGTGGTGTAGCATGTTAACCCTCTGCCTATGGTGGTGGGGGGCAATGTTCCAGATGGGAGCTGGCTTGTGTCTCCACTGCTCCACTTCCAATTCAGCTCCCATCTTATGCCCTGGGAAAGCATTGGATGGTGGCACAAGTTCTGGGGACCTTGCACCCATCCTCTCTTCAACCCCACTGAAGGCTCTGTCTCCTGTGGGGGTTACAGACTGTGGCCAGGTTCCTTGCACAGGGAACAGGAGGAGAGGGCTGGGAGACCAGGGACAGAGGCACTTGGGGACTGGTCTGTCTTTAGAACCACAAGGCCTTCCTTGCTGGTCCAGCCTCCACACTGCTCTAGTGCTGTGTAAGCAAAGCTTAACCATTTGAAAACTTCTGGATTTTGAATTTGACCCCACATTGTAGAGTAAATGTGTGTTTTTCAGGTCCCAAAAACAAAAACCAAAAAACCTCAAGAAGCAAAAAAAGGTAAGTTTATTTTGGTACCAATTAAAAAAAAAATCTATGCATTGTGGTTTCATAATGTAATTTTCTGGAAATTTTAGATGCGTGGAAACCCTTGAATGGATGGATTTCATTTTTTTTCCCACCCAAATAAGCCTATCTTTTAGTTCTGTTTCCCATGAACTTCTGTGAAGTCTGCTTACATTTAATAGCTTGCACCTCCGTAGGCCATCATCTTCTTTCCGAGCAGTGGTCCAGCTGCTCCTGCTGGCCGGCAGTCAACTGTATGGCCCAGGAGTTCAGGGTCGTGGCTGCAGCAGAGAGGCCTTGCAAGGCACCACCTCCCAGGTTAGGAAAAGCTGCCCTTCAGCCCTTTCCTAGGCAGTGCACCTTCCCAGCCAGGTGGTCCATGGCTCTCAATGGGTGACTCGCTACAGTTGGGTCCGTCCCATGCCCTTGGAATTCATTAGATGTCTCTGAATGTTCCCAGGGTGTGGTGTGTCTTGACCCTGATGGGTCTCTTGGGACCTGTTTATGAACCTCTAATACCTGCTAGGAACCCAGGTAGACTGTGTCTTCCCTAGACCTGAGAACCTGGACTGTCACCCTTAATCTTCTCTTCCCCACAGATGATGCAGCTGGGTCTCAGCTTGGGATGGCTTTTCCATTTACAACCTGTGTGACAATGGGATCATCTGTTCCCCTCACCACATCCTTCCGGCCAAATCATAACAGTGCCAGGGTCCCAGAGCCATACCTGGGCTCCTGTGGGTGAACCTAGAGCAGACTGCAGACCATCCTCCCCCATCTGTCCCCAGGGGGTGGTGTTAGTCTTGGCCCAAGTCAGAGCCAGGGTCAGGAGATCTTTTAAGGAAGTGAGTAGCTCTCCCCACCCTTCACCACTCAATAGCACCACAAAGAATCCACTGTTGGGAAAGTTCAAGACAACGCTAGCCATTTATTGATTTCCTATATTTCAAAAAAAAAAAAAAAGCAAATACATAATATAATATACAGGGAAGCTGGCAGGACCCTTGTGCCAACAAGAAGCCTCCAGATTCCCCATAGCAGCCCAGGCCTTCCTCTCTGGCCCTCCCCGAGCCCCAGGCTCAGTGGTCAGAGCCACCTGCTTGTGGCCAGGTGCACAGCTGGACAAGCACAGAGACATTCCAGCCCAGAAGTGGAGGGCTTGGGGTGTCAGTCTGGGTCATGCTGGAGAAGCTGCGGGCATCCAATGGCTGGGTCTGTCTCAAGCCTAGGGTATCTCAGGGTTGGGGTGGGGACAGGAGCCATGTCCGTGAACCAGCTTTGCTCTGGGGATGGAACTTGGTAGCAGGAGCCCATGGGGACTCACAACACTCAGACAGAGCCAGCGAAGTCTTCACCCCTTTCTCTAACATCCTCCAACTTCTCTCTCTGGCCTCTTTCCAAGCAACAGGAATAGGTGAGAGGCCCCCGGGTGCCCATCTGGTCAACCTGAGAGGGCACAAGAGGTCACTGGAATCACCATCCTGTCCACCCAGGGCACTGAGACCAGGGCCTGGGCCCACCTTGGCGTTGAGCCTGCAGGTGTGGCAGGATGAGTTGGGGGCTGCAGGAGTCAGGCCTGCCCAATGAGGAAGTGCATCCCCAGGTTTGGGGCTATTGGTCCCCCTTGTGCTTACTAGACAAAACTAAAGCCCCGTGCCTCCTCCTCTTAGGAAACAGAAGCTGTGTGGGGACAGGGCAGGTCACTGTCCCTCATGGATCTGTCCCAGGGTGCTGGGGCTGCCACCTGCCACAAGCTGGGGCTCCACACAGTTTTCAAGGAGTGTATTTCTATAGATTCAGCCTCCCATGTGGATCTTTGGGTGGGAGAGGGAGTCAGGTAGAACATTCCAGCCTGAGCAAGCCAGGGAGGGAGTTCTAGACGCACAGCACCAGACAGCATGGCTGATGGCTGGTCAGGGACACTGTGGGTGGACATGACTTTAGCTGCCAGGGGCTTCGCTCAGCGGTGGCTGCGCCTCCTAAAGGCACGGCCCCAATCTAGGTTTTCAGTCTGCTGTGGAGGGAAGTGGCCTGGCATGGGTAGTAGCACAGAAGTAAGGAGGTGGCAGGGGCTAAGGAGGAGCCAGTGTGGCCGGTATTGTGTGTGGAAGGACCTGGGTGTGGCGCCCACAGTGCCACGGGAGGTGGGGCTGGGATAGGGGCCTGTTTGTGGGTTAGGGACCCGAGTGCTGGGGCCTGGGATCCTTATACAATTTTCTTAAGAGGCCCCCTGGTTGTTCTTTTGTGAGATCCTGGGTTTCTCCATCACATCCCCTAGAGATGGATGGTGGGGAGCTGGTGGGCAGGTGCAATGGGGCCGCCTCCGGTTGGGGGTTGCTGGTGCTCAGAGACACACTGCTTTTCTTGGTGTATTTAAGACCCCAGTGCGAGTTGGCTTGGGACGCAATATAGGGTTTAAGCTCAGCCTTCTGCCATCCTCTTTCCATTACAAGTTTGTTCCCCTAGTCACCGGGAATGTGGAAACCAAACAGCTTCTGCTTGAATAGTTCTTGGACTTTGAGCACCACTTGGCAGTGTCCAGATCCCAAGATGCTCCCCACCAGCCTTGTCTCCTCAACAGCACAAAGCGAGCACCGTGGTCCTGCGCCATCTTCTAGAGCGCCACCCCAAGCCAGCGCCCTGCAGCCAGGGCGGCCTCATCAAGGCTCACAGATCTTCCCATGAGATAGGTGGCTAGCCTCCACCCTGCAATGCAGCAGCTTGGGGAGGAGGGGAGCCCCAACACCAGCTCCTCCTCTCTACAGTGGTCAGTTAGCAGCCCCCCTTATGTGGCCTGACTCAGGTGAGGACCCCGTGTCCTGCACCATCCATGTCCAGAACAATGGGCAGGTAACCACTAGCACAGGATGCTCTCATGTAAGTGGAAAGCACTAGACAGTCCTTGGACTGGCTGCAAGCCGGGCTGCAGCGGCACAGCTCACCTGGCTGCTGTAATTTGTGGTTACACCTCCAGGCAACCTTGAACACACACATGCACATACCATGCACACACACGCACTCACACACACATACACACACACACATGCACACACACACACACATATGCCACTTCTCAGAGGAAGTGGTATGGACATAATATATAAGCCCTATTAAACTCCAGAAAGTTCTTCCCTACCCAGCCTCCCCCACCCCCACTGCTTGCTAGTCCCAGCCCCCTCCCACACCCTCCCCCTGGAAAAAGAAGAAATCTAAAAATATTTCCATCTTCCACAGTCTTCGGGTTGCTCTCAGGGCATCTGAACTTTTCCAAATACTGCGCGGGATGGACAGAATGACCCAGCTGGCAAGGCCTGAGGTCTGCTCCGCCGGCTCATGCCTTTCTGGAAAAAGACAAGTCCTCAAGTCAGCTTTCGGAACCAGGTGCTCCAGTTGCAGGCAGGGCAGCCACGGCTGCTCCCCTAGTTCTCCCTCATGTGGGCCCCAAGTGTGTCACCCTAAGCCGGCTTAGCCCTGACCACATGCATTCCATTCCTCACCATTCAGAAGCTTGTCTGCTTCTACCTGCACTGCCACATCCCCTGCCCATCATGTTCAGTACTGAGTGCCAAGATGCTATTTATTAAGAATTGGCTGAATGTGGCTGGTGTTGTGGCCTAACAGGTTAAGCAGACACCAGTATCCCACACAGGTGGCAGTTTGTGTCCCAGCTGCTCCACTTTCCATCCAGCTCCCTGCTAATGCACTTGGGAAAGCAGTGGAAGATGGCCCAAGTGCTTGGGTTCCTGCACCCAGCAAGGCACCCAGAAGAAGCTCTGGGCCCTTAGCTTTGGTCTGGTCCATCTCCGGCTGTTGTGGCCATTTGGGGAGTGAACTTTCAGGTAGAAATCTCTCTGTGTCTCTTTGTCCCTCACTATATCACTCTGTCTTTCAAATTAACCAATCAGGTATCCATGAAACACTACAAATGATGAGAAAGCCATCCTCCTGGACCTCATGCCAGGCTGAGTCAGGAAGGCTGGGGTGGGGCTGGGTACGTCGTTGACCAAGCATTCCAGGTTATGCTATAGTTTGCAAGCCTTGGTCATGTAGCAGCTCTGAATCATCCCCTGGAAGTAAGCTTGCCCACACCAGGCACGCACAGACTGTAGAGTGGGTTATTAAAAGGACAAAGAGGAGGGCCATGGATGACCAAACTCAGAATGACACCTCCAGTGACTTGAGCTAGTCTTGGGGTAATCACTGCAAGCTCTGTGAACAGCAGCATGTGGGCTGTGGCCTTGCAGTGCACACCCTACACCACTGTACTCAGCACTCTGGCCCAGAACCTCTGCTCCAGTGTCCCCAGCCAGCTGCCTCTCCAAGGTTTCAGCCTGCCAGGCAACCTGCCAGGTCCACCATTGCTTTTGTGTCCCAGGCCTAGCCCCTCTTGTGAAGTCCGGCTGAGCCTGCCCGGTGGTCTTAGAGGCAAACCTCCTCCCACCACCCCCAGCCCTGGGAGAGGTCACCAGTGCTTACCTGCAAGCTGAACTTGCACGGTAGCTTGTTCTTAGAACCGGGAGGTGAAGTTCCTGAAGCTGTTGGCACCAGCCAGGGTCCCCAGCATGTTCCTGTCAAAGCCGTGCTGCAAGAGGACAGACCCTGTGACACATCCACCTGGGTTGTGTGTGTGTGTGTGTGTGTAGGGGGACTGATGATGCTGGATGCTGTGGGCCAGGAAACTGCATTTCCCCCATGTCCCTGGGGCTCATGGTCATGCTCTGATCCATCCCTACAGAACTATATCAGGGCTAACAATGGCCTTGCTAAATATGTGCCCAAACAGGATGCTGTTTAGCCCTGAGCTCGCACAGCGAGTGTCGTCCCCTGGCATGATGAGTTGCCCACTTGCTGTTGCAGACACAGGAAGCAGGGTGGCAGGGTGCAGCCTGTGCTCTGACTTTCAGCTCCCTTGGAGCTCCTACTGGAGCTGGAGCTGGAGCCTTGTTCCTGGTACACAGCAAGTGCCCCAGCATGCTTCTGAGCAAAGGAGGATGGGGTCCTGTAAGAACAGCTATAGGCAGGCCTGGGTATCCTGCCGGAGCAGGGCCCTACAGGAGGAGGGGCTCCAAAGCTCTTGTTACATCACCTTGCTCTTTCAACAGTTGCTTGCTGGCTCCTGTTGGACTTGGCTGGATTTCATGGAAAGAACCCAGGAGCGAAAATGCCTGGATCCCAGCCACACCCTTGCCCTGCCTTGGTGAAGGCAGACAGATGTCTTGGACACTAGCTCCCTATTCAGCACAAATGGATGTGAGCCACATGGCCTGCCTCACCTGTGCCTGTGACAACCCGCTTTGTGGTATAAAGGAAGGCACTCTGTCTGCTCAGCACTGGTGGGGGTGGAGTGTTGGGGCCCAACAACACCTCACAGTGTAGCTGGGATTGTAGCAACTAGGACATGGCTCCTGGGGTGGCCCTGGGCCTGCAGTGATCTCTGACTTTGGGGGTGTAGCCTCTCAGCTAGCCTGCCTTGCCTGTCTCTTGCCAGTCTTTTGGTCTAGCCTGACTATGGCATTGCTGGAAGTGAACATGGGGTTGTCAGGTGCCACTCGCAACGGCCTTCATCTCCTCCTAGACAACCTTGACCACAGAGGTTTCATGAGCCGCCTTGATGCATGCTCCGTGCCCAAGCGAGGGGCCTGTTCTACCTTTACCCCAGGGTGACTACCTGGGTCTTACCCCAGGTTCCATCACCTGCACTCCCCCATCTCCTTCCACAACACACAGGTTTTTGTCTTTTTTGTTTTTTCTGCTTGCCTTTCTGCCTCCCTTCTTGCCCCACCAAACAGTGGTCTGTGAACTCCTGTCTGCGCAGCTGCCTCGCACCGTGTGTTCAGGTTCCATGGGGCCTCCCAGTCTTGTCAGCAGTGCCTTCGGGGTTGCCAGTGCCTCTACTCCTCCTCATTATCCAGGCAGCGCTGGAAGCTGCTGTCCACTTGCTTCTCCTTGCCAGGCACACTGCTTTCTCTTTCCTGGATCTTTCTTTCTCCTTGGTCCCCTCTTCATGCTGCTTGCCCTTGACCTTGCTATAGGAAGTACCTCTTAACAATGCCTCCAGGTTGGGGTCCCATACCACACCCACCTGGACCGCCATCCAGGTCCCAAACCTACCCTCTGTACATGGAAACCTTCTTACTCTTATTCCTCCCCACAAGAGCTGCTCGGTCTCTCCCCACTGGATCTGTTTCTGCGTGTAACAAGCCCCAGGTAAAAGTCTGCAGAGGGCTTCTGCTCTGCGTGTCTCTCCTGCTTCCTGTCATTGGCTACCCTTCTCTTTGCACCCTGCATCTCAGCCCAGTAGGTGCTGCTGCTGTAGGAATGGAAGTGCCGGTCTTACAAAGTGAGACCTGTGGAGGTCTCTTGTGCCCAATGGGGCTGGCAGACATTAAGCACAGAGAGGTACAAGGGCCACCCTGGGATGCTGCAAGAGCAGCTAGGGCTCAGTGTCTTCTGCCTTGCTCCCTGGCATGCATTTTGTCTCACTAGGGTTGATTCCAGCATGAGCCCTCTGCCCAGAATGCTGCAAGCTCCCTGGTGTCACAGGCAAAGCATGAAATCTTTGGTGTGAGCCTGAAGGGGTTGTGAGCATCCAGCCCTGAGCTTCCCAGGTCCCAGTAGGATAAGGCCCTTTGTCCACACTGTGTCCTAGTTCATCCCAGAATTATCCAACCCCAGGCCTCCTGCTCCAGGCCTGGGGTTCCTCTGCCCTCCTCATACTCAGCACCCTTTCTACCACTCCCAGCCCGGAGACTTGGGCCAAGCATTGATTCAGTTCATTGTTGTGGTACAGTTCGCTTCTCAGACTCTGCCAGCCTGTCTTTCCCTCCCTAGTCCGCAAGGGTTTCAGAAGGGGCAAAGTAGGGATCTATTGCATACTGTGTGGCTAGGCTGTGATGAATGGTGGGCCATGGGTTGATTAAGGGCAGGTGGAAAGCACATGTATGTGGAGAGTGTGCAGGAGGAGGATGATCGGAGGGGCCAGCAGTGGGGGTGCTTACCTGTCTGAGGGCGCCCTGAAGCTCCTTATTGGACCACATGTCGGACAGAAGGAGTCGGGCAGCTTCTGCAGCCTTGGGCGAAGTGCTGGGTAGGGTAGAAACAAATTTGAGGGGTGAAGTTCTAGGTAGCGTGATTAGGTAAGCACTTCCCCTCCCACTTAGGGGTACAGGAGACGGGAGCCACACTGGGGTGCATTAATCCCAGTCATGGTGCGGTGGGCACAGTGCTGGGCCCTACCCATCTGGAAGTACTCCAGGACACTTCCAGGGCCAGGAGTGGTTCCTGCAGCTTCTTTCCTGAGAAAGAGTCTACAGAGAAGGAAAGTTCCTGCTCAATTACGGCTACTGCTGCAGCTATTGCTGACCCTCTGAAGACCAAGGGTCCCTCCACGTCCCTCTGTCTTCTCTGGCAGCTCCACAGCACCTCAGCTTGGGGGACATCTCTCTCCTTCGAGCCTCTCTTCTCTGGACTCTCCAAGCCCTCTCTCCCTCTCCCCAAGCCTTCCCCAAGGGTGGCAGGCCAGGCCCATGCACCTGCTGCGGCACAGATTGACCACATTGTGCAGCATGCTGGTGGTCAGGTGCTGCTTGGCCATCTGCGGCTGCGAGGTCATCAGGTTCCTCACGGTGTAGCAGGCCGAAGACAGGATGTCTTCCGAGTTGCTGGTGTTGCCCGTGTGGCTGGTGAGGAGCCTGGTCACTTCTGGGAACACTTGGTTCCCTAAAGAACAGAAGGTTGCAGTCAGGGTGACCCAGAAGGTGTGAGGGGTTCCTCTGGGACTGCCAAGCTGGGCTGACCTCAGCCTGGCCCCAAGCAAGCACTGACTTGCAGCTTGGGAGCCCCAGCTGGGTCCTGGGCAGACCTGCTCCATTCTTTTCCCTCCTCATGCTCCCTGTGCTGGGGTCCCGCTTCCTCTCCCCAAATGCCGGGATGGTTAGCAGCCCTGGGAAGCAAGGGGGCTTGCCGTACTCTGTGTGCTGGCCTTACCCATGGCCCTATGTAGCACGGGGTGGCGGGACATGTTGCTCAGCAGGGAGGCCCCCGACCGCACCACATCTGAGTTGCCCGATTGCAGCAGGCGGGCGATTTGGGGCAGGCCCTTCTCCTTCAGCCCGATCAACTGGCTCATGCCACTGGACATCTATAAGAGAAGGATACAGGGAATAGCTAGCCTTTCCATTAAGCCCCATGGCAGCCAGCAAGGCACAGGCTGCCCCTGATGGAGAAGCCTTAGGTCTCTTCTGTATAGCGTTGGAAGCCCCGGCGGAGACACGGAAATGTGCCCACACCTGGGTGCACCTGTGCCTCCTCTTCCTGCTCTGGGCTAGCCAGGAGCTCCTGAAGATCCCATTCTGTAGGAAGTACTGCTCACTTTTGCCCTGGCCCTCTGCTGCACAAATCCCTCCTGTTCTAGGTGAGGCTGAGGAATACTCGGCTGCTGCTGGCTCTGAGCTCACTGCTTGCACACAGTCCAAGGGCTCTCCCTCCTCCCCTCCAGCTCCAGCTCCACAATGATGCCTCAGTCCCTCCTCTACACCTTCCTACATGCAGACCTTTCTCCAGCAGGTCAACAGGTGGGAGACTCCTCCTGCCACAAGCATCTTCCATACCCATCTCCTACCCAGGCAGAGCCCAGAAAGGTCAGCAAGCAACATGGCCAAAGGATGAGCTGGGCCCCTGGGCCCCATGGCGATGGGTCCAGGAGGTAGGGGAACCAAGTCTCCCTCCCCCTCCTCCACCCACCCCCAGCCTGTCTGGCTGCACAGTGAAGCTCTCTGTGTCCAGGAGCTCTGTGCAGATTTAGACTAGGGTTGGAGCAAGGGGAAAGGAACCCGGACTTGAGCTGGAGCCCTGGGGAGCTGTGAGAGAGAGCTGCACAGCTTACCAGCCCCTTGCTGGCTGTCAGGTTCTGCAGAGCACCAGCACAGGCCTCAAGAGTGGCGTCTTTCTTGCTCTTGCCCATGAGGTTCAGGTAGGTGCGGATGGCATCTGAGTGGTAGAGCCAGCTGCTGCCCCTAGGGTTGGCCTCCTCCTCGGGGAGCGGGAAGTCATAGTTGTTGTTCTGAAAACCACAATGTGAGAGGACAGCTTGACTAAGGGACGAGCCTGGCATGCTGCCCCACACTTGCCCTTCCATCCCCACAGTTCCAGTTCCCAGTACTGGGGAGGGAGGACAGGGGAACGGGGAGTTCACAAGGTGGGGAAAACCAAGGCCAGAGTGAGGCTATGGTTCTGGTTGTCCCCAGTCATCAGGAGTAAGAGAGAAGATGGGAGTGACTGTTCCCATAATTCAGGAAGACACACTGAGGGGCTGGCCTGGGCTCCCACAGTCCCAAGAATGAACATTAATCTGTCTGCCTGCTACCGGGTCACAGTACTGGCATGACATTGGCCCCTTGGACTGTCTAGTGTTGGGTGGTGGTGGCTGGCCAGCAGGTGATGCTTACCATCATCTTGTCGCTCTTGTTGCTGAAGCAGCCAGTGGAGGACTTCTCTGTGTAGGCATTGCGTGCGTTGTACTCCAGCTGACGGTAGCGGGTGGGCACCTCGGCATCCAGGCGGTATGAGAGGTTGTGCAGGATGCACATGCAGTTCTCCACAGACTACGGAGCGAGTGGAAGATGCCCTCAGCCCCGGCCCAGCCCCTACCATGCCCTCGGGGCCTGGGAATGGCAGGTGCCTGCAACACACTTGGTCTGGAAGTCTCCCAGGCAGGTTTTCGGGACCTGGCTATGTCAGCTCTATGCCTTCCTTGCTGCATGAACTCAAGTCTACACCTTTGCAGGTATCAAGGTCCCTTGGCTATCCCAGGGAACTAAGCTCACCTGTCCTGTGGCCACCATCGTGTCCTGCACCTGGATGCCCCTCGGCTGGGCTTTGGCTGCACTTTGGGCCCATTCCCTGGCTAGGGGACACACAGACAGTGCACACCTGAGCTGTCGAGTGTGCCAGGTCTGAGAGAGTCACAGAGATGCCCTTAGTGACTGCAAGCATGGCCATGGCTGCCCACTCACCTTGTCATCGCAGCGGCTGGCAGCCACGCAGTTCTGCACGTAGGCCATGATGGCGTCGATGAGGCCAGAGTAGTTGCGCATGGCCTGGCGCCCTGCATCGGCCGAGCTCAGGTTCCTGTGAAGGAGAGGAGGGTGTGGGAGAATGGAGGGGAGGCAGGACCCATACCAAGGAGGGTGGAGAGGAGTGCAGAGACCTGCAGCAGCATGGCTCAGGGGAGTGGAGTGGAGGATGTAGGTTAAGGTAGGAGGAGGAAGAACAGAAGAGGAAGGCCAAGAAAGGAAGGCAAGGAATGTCCTTTGGCCAATGTGGCCAGGGCCTACTTGCTGCCCAGTGGGTCCCCAGGCATACAATGTTTGTGTCTGGCTCTGCTGCAGCTGACAGGCATAATCCCCTCCCTTGCATCCTCCTCCCACCTTGCCACTCTAGTGGCCACTTGTCCACCTGTCTTCTCTCTGTTGGGGCAAGAAGATGCTGGGGGTTGTAACAGCAATTGCAGAATGAAGCTGAGGGTTTTGGCTGGGGACTCAGTGCAGATGTAGGCTGGTGTAGGAGGCTGGACCCTTACTGTTCCCTCAGTCAGCTCTGCTGCCCCATGACCCCCTTCATCATTCATGTCCCAGTTTCTCTTCTCTGTGGAGGCTGGCCGCTGCCAAAGACCATCAGGGAGAGGTGCAAGCTGTTATCCTGCTAGATAGGTACACCAGCTGTACCCCCCACGTGGCCAGACCCCAGGAACCCCATTATAGTGTGTGGGACCCAAAAGGGGAACGGCTCCACAGCTTCATTTTCAGCACCAATACCCATCCCTGCCCCCAGCCTACAGTGGCTTTGCCACACCCTGGTGTGGAACTCAGAAAACCTTGGGCAAAGCAATGCCATCTTTATGCCAATGAACAAGGCAAAAAGCTTTAGCAGCACAACTGGAAAGTGACTCATGAGCAGCCAATCAGTGTACTTTGTTTCAAAGAATGCTCTTCAAGACAGCACAAGAATCACATTTTTCTGGTGGTGGTGGTGCGGGGGGAGGACCATGGTTGGATCAGTTTGAGACTCCAGAGGTAGGTGTTTACATGTCTTAGTCATAGTTTGTGGCTACTGCACTCCCTTGGAAGTAGGCAGCAGGGTCCCAAGGGAAGTTAGCACTGCCTGGGCCCCCTTGTTCCAGTGCCAGCCCCTACAGCCAGTGCCAGGCTATAGGTTATGCCCTCTGCCCTGGCTGGATGTTGGCAGACAAGCAGTGGCCTGGCAAGGGTCTGCAGCTGGGGCACAAAGAACCCATGCATCCTCCTGCCATCTGACCTCAAGCAGCCTGTGGCGTTGAAGAAGACCTCGGGGTCCACCACGTCCCGGGACATGTTGCTGTTGCCATCACACCAGCCGGAGAAGGGGATGATGACGCGGTCAGCCAGGACAGGCAGGGCGTCGGCCACCAGCTCCTCCTTCAGCTCATCGGTGGAAGATAGATTCCAGAGCAGCCCTGGGAGCGGGGCAGAGATGGTCAGCCCCACACCTGCCAGGCTCAGGAGAACCCAGGGGCTGTGGGACACAATCCCTCTGCGCGCTTCGGGGCAGGCCTATTTTGTCGAACCCATTATGTCCAGCTGTGCCAATAGTCCTTGGCAAGATGTCCCAACCAGACTGCAGGCTCTTTGGTGGGGAGGGGGATAGCAGAGTTCTCTTTCGAGGTGAGAATCATGCCCCTGGAAAGGGCTCAGACAAGAGCTGAAGGACCAATGCATGCAGATGTAAATGCTGGGACCTTGAATCTGCCAGGCTGCTTTTCACATGCAGGCAAGTCCAGAATACTGATCTATTGTTATTCTATATGGCTCATCCTCCCAGTCCAATCTGGGTGGTTTATGATGACTTCTCTTGCTCATGTCCCTGCCATGAGAGCTCAGCACAAAGGTAGGTGTGGACCCCTGCACCCCTCAGCCTGACTTTCTCCCACCAGACACCAGGATTCTGCTTGAACATGGGCCTTCCTCCTTTCACTCTCCAAACTCAGGGGACCACCAAGAGTGGAGGTGCAATCCACCCAGGGTATTCAATGGGGCACCATGGCCCACACCAGTGCCACCAGGCCCCCAGGCCAGCTGTGGCTTGGCTCATGCACCCCAGCCTCCCTCCATCCCAGCGCTCCCTGCTGGGGCATCCTACCAGTCAGCTGCTTCTGAATCTCGGTGTTCCCGGTCTTCCGCAGCAGGCTGACGGCCTCGCGGATCCCGTTCTGCCGCCGGGTCTCCAGCTTGTTGGTGTTGCTCCTGAATACCAGGTTGCGCAGGGCACCTGCAGCTGCCTGCTGCACATTCTGGTTGGGACTGCGCAGGAGATCCACCAGTTTGCAGATGCCACCCAACTGGTAAACCTGGTGGGAGAGTGGCCACGTTGCCCAGTCAATGGAGAGGAGGATGATCTGCTCAGGATCCTCTCAAACAGGGGTTTTTTCAGGGTTCCCTAAAATTCTACCTTTAGTTTGGAAGCTTCCAAATCAATCAAAAGAATTAATTAGCAGCAGATCATGGGAATCAAGTGGGGCCAGGGGCACAAAGGTCTGGGTTCATATTCTAATTCCCCAGGTCCTAGCTGATCATCGGCAAATCACTCATCATCCCTGAATCCCATTTTCCTGTTCTGAGTGCTATGGTGAGGAACAGATGGAAAGTGGACATAAACACGTTTCAGAATCCTGAGCTGAGAACTGGTGTTGTGGTATGGCAGTTTCAGCACTAGTTTGAGTCCTGGCTGCTCAACTTTCAATCCAGCTTCCTGATAATGCACTGCAAAGGCAGCAGCTGGTGATGGTTCAAATACATGGGGTCCTACCATCCACGTGGGATACCCAGAAGCTCCTGGCTTCAGCCTGGCCCAGTGCTGGCTGTTGTGGCCATTTGGGGAGTGAACTAGAGGGTAGAAGCTCTGTCTTTCCCTCTCTGTCTCCGTCATTTTGCCTTTCAAATAGATAAAATAATTCTTCAAAAAAGAAAATCCAAGCATAACAGCCAAACAAAAGCCAGTTCTTTGGGAACTCTTGTTGTTATGGTACACGGTTGGATGCAAACTAACCCTGGACTCCTTGGAATACACTTAGATCATCACACCCCTGGGCTAAACACAGGAGCCCAGAGGGGTCCTTCCTGGGGATGCCAGCAAGCCCTGTTTGCCACCATGAGAAGCTGAAGGATGGGGAGCAGTGGTGCTCTTGATCGGAACTTGAGAAAGGGGATTTCTGATGAGCCCATGGCCATCAGTGAAGACTGGGAAATGCACCTGCTGAAGTCTGCTTGGCCAGAGGCACTGGCTTGGCACAAGGCTAAAGTACCTAGCCCCAAATATGGGCAATGCCCACTCCTTGCCCCTGGCACCTGCGGAGAGTCAGAAAAAAACTGTAAATTCCATCCCCTTCCTCCCCTTGCCCTGTGTAGAATCTGGCTGCTATGCCCGGGTCCTGCCAGGTCCACTGAGGGCAAGGGTGGGTAGCTCTTTACCTGTTGCTTGGCAGATTCATCCTGGAAGCAGGTGTGCTGAATGAAATAGGCCCCGATGGCCTGGTACTTCTCGTCCTGGGAGCTCAGGTATTGCACAGCTTTGGGTATGGTCAGCCCACTGCACTCGATGTCCTCACTGCAGATCCTGACAAGGCCAGGCAGGAGCAGAGGGGCGAGAGGGCGTGATTACAGGGATATCAGGTGGGTGGGTTCCCTGCGGAAGAGCCTCAGAATACCTCCCTGCATAACCTGGCTGGCAGCCAGCTTCATGTGTCCAATGGCAAGGTAGAACAAGGTAGCCCCAGGCCCACTTGGAGAGCAGCCCAAAGGGACTGAGCCTCTGGGGTGTGCCCACAGGATGTCCCATGTAGGGCTGGGCTGTGGCAAGTCTTGGTCATGGGCTAGTGTCACAGCAGGTAAATTATCTCTGTCCCATGGAAAACTCTGCCTTGTCCATTAGGGACATGTCCACCCACCCTGCCATCTCTCATCTGTTCCTGCACTGGACAAATGAAAGAGAATGGCTTGAGTTCATCCCTCCCTCCAGTCCCATCTTGCATGCATGTTTTCACATCAGCTCCTTCCCATCTTCACCACTTTCCTAGTGGTCATGGTCATTCTCACAGGATGATCAAGGGAACCCTTTGAGCTCTCTTTAATCAGATGGGTGGTTCCCAAACCCTGTTCTCCACATTGTTGGTTCCCCAGCTTAGACAGCAGCAGTTTTTCCATACTACAAGGCCAAGTTCAAAATGCTTAGGCTGAGAGCCAAAGCCCTGAGTTGGGTTTAACTACAGGAAAGGCTGATAGCCAGAAAACCAGAAATGTCATGTTTTGATCCAACAGTTGGGCACTCCACTGGTCTTGTACAATTCATAGCCTCAGCAAGGTGGTGGGGTTGGGGAGCCTCAGGTCCTACTGGAGTTCCACATCCACGGAGCTTCACAGGGAAGGGGAGCCCTGTCTGGACTCCCTGGGAGTGGGGTCCTAGGTGGCCTTTCCACCTGATCCTGCAAGCTATCCTTCAGCGTGTACAAAAGGAGTCCCTTTCCATCTCTGGTAGACTCTGCTTTGCCACAGTTGGTGCTCAATAGATGCTCATGTTAGCTACAGCAACCCCACTGCCTATCTGGAAAAGGTGCCCCAGAAGCAGGGCTGTCTGGCCTGCAGTGAGGAGAGCCCCTGCCCTGCATTGAGAGACTGTCAGCCTGCACCTGCCAGTCAAGGGTCCTCTCTTATCACTTGTCCCTGCCACAGCACACTGACAGCCCTACTCAGGGGTGGCCCATGTCCCTAGGACAGAGGTTCCTTAATCCTTCTCCAGCTCACCCTGAATGCATGCCTCTGAGGAGACAGGCCAGCAGGGGCATTCTTGCTACTGCTCAGAACACTCTGCACCTGTGCAGAGGAGCTCAGGGTGCAGAAGAGCATCGTCTGCATGGCTCCGGGTAAGTTACTCAATACCTCTGTGCCAGCCTAGAAGCAGCTGCGATGACTACTGATTAATATAGCCCATGGTGTGGCTTCTGGTCAGCTCTGGGCTGTCCTGTAAGTGATTGTGGACATGCAGCAGGTGCTCAGAGGAATGTTTACCAAATGAAAGAATGCCAACCCTCATTAGGTGGTGACACAGGATGCGGGCAAGGTTCTGGAGCTCTGAGTCCTGAAGGGTGTGATGTGTGACCCCCATCACGTGCTCCCACCTGCTCTCTCAGGCTCCCCAGGGGTCTCCTTCATGTGCACTTGGCTGCTCTCCTGGATGCATTTGTGGGAGGATATGTGCACTGTCTCCTTAGCCCAGGATCATGCCCTTGTGGTCATGTCCATCTGTTGCTTCCATCCTCTGGACCACCTGTCTGATAACAAAGCTGATGACACAACCTAGACCCACTGCCTCCACTAGGACACATTCCTTGGCTCTTTGACATGGGGCTAAGACACAGCCTCCCCAGCACCAGCGAGTAGAGTATCACTCTTGCCTGGAGGGAGCCCTCTTCTGGTGTCACTGAGTCAACAGGTGTGGGCAGGGCCTAACAAGAACAATGAGTGTTTCTACAGCTCCCAGGTGAGGCTGAGGCTACTGGTCAGAGGAACATACCCTGAGAATCTGGTTTAACTAACCTTCTCACCTTCATCGTTTGTTCCTCACCTGTGACCTTCAAAACCTACTTGAATGCCAGGTGTGAGCTCTGCCTTCACTTGATGCTGAGAACTCCATGAGGCTTTGAGCCCAGCATGGGACTGCAGCTGCATGCCTACCATCTCCCCAGGCTTCCTGTGCAGGTGCAGCCAGCCCCACCCAGCCCAGCCCAGCCCAGCCCAGCCCAGCCCAGCCCAGCCCAGCCCAGTCCAGCCAGCACTCACTTGGAGCTGGCCCTTGAGTGGCCAAAGGACAGGTCCTTGTTGCAGGAGATGGGGGGCACATACACTGGATCCTGCTTGGAGGTGCAGGAGGGCGGGCGCACAGGGCACTTCTTGGTGGTCTTCTGGCCACTGCAGGTGCTGTAAAAGCTGTAGCGATTTTGACTAGTCTTGTGGCCCTTGCTGCCTAGCGTGCCCTTGCGCAGGGTGCCCCGTGGGTCGCAGTAGAGGTCAGGCTCACTGCGGCTGGCCTTGATTTTCTGCATGAAGCAGATGTCGCTGCCCGCACCTGTGATGTTACAGTTTCCCCGCTGATACTGGCGGCCCCAGTTCTCCATCTGGCTGTAGGAGCTGAAGCGCCTGTTGTCCGTCTCTCGCTTGAGGGTCCCATTATAGATCTGGCCAGGGAGAGGGAGAGAGGCTCAGTTGGGGTTCTGGACCAGGAACCCTGCAGCTGGCTGGCCACAGGACATGACCCTTGCCCAACTCCTATTACATACAAGGGCATATAAGAGCAGCCCATGAGAGTAGGAGGAGCTTGGGCCATCATCACCCCAGCTGCAAGGGTGCAACCATTGTGGGACAGGAAATCAGCTGAGTGGATTGTATCTGTGATGCGTAACACAGAACAGATGAACATACCCTGGAATAGACAATCCAGAGTGTGACGCAGGTGGGAGGCATGCCTGGTTTGAGGAACGGTGTGCAGTTCCGGGAGCAAAGTCAAGTGCAGTTCTAAGTATGGGCTGTAGTTGGACACAGGCTCCAAACTGGAAGCAGGTGGGGGCCCGCAGAGCAAAGGGCAATTGAAGCAGGACACTGGGATCTGAGATGTGTCTCTGAATAGTCACCCCACGCTGTTCCAACCCCGGTAGCTTCAGACCCAGTCAGCCTTTCTTGATCACTGAATTCAGAGCTTGGGAACTTCTATGATTTTTCTGCCTCCCCATGCAGACAGGTGCCTCCCTGGGAGTAGTGGAGAACTCCCAAAGGCCAAAGAGGGACAGTGACCAACCAGGTTCCTACTTGTAGCACTCTGCCACAGGGAACAGCAGAGCAGGGGTGCCTAGATGGCTGGAGGGACAGGGCACTGCAGAGTCAGGTTTAGGGATGGGGGAGAGGAGCTGGGCAGAGATCTGACCCGGCAGGAAAACAGAATGGCAGTGAGGGCTCTGGGTGAGCTAGGCTGGGGCGTCGGTCCCCTAGGAGGAGCCTGGGTGAGAAAGAGTCCTGTCCGAGGAAGCCTGACTTTCCCAGGAGTTTGCGAGCTGGTGGGTCCGGCGTGCCGGGACTTGTTCTTGTAGTACAGGCTCAACCCCAAAGATGTCTCCACGCAGCTGCTGACTTGGGACTCGCCTCTGCTGGGATGAGCCATGGCCAAGACCAGCAACCTGGTGCCTGCCTGCCCTGCCCTGGGAGTGTGGAGTGTGTATGTGTGTGTGTGTGTAGAAGAGGTCATTAGGCAATTGGGTAATTCCCCTCCAGACTGGCTCTAGCTGCACAGGCCTGGGGAGAACTTGGCCTTCAGCCGGACCCTGGTGGTAGACAGCAGGAAGCAGTCCTGGTGCAGGTTGCTGGAGGCCTGGGCGTCAAGCCACCTATGAACTGTGGCCTCGAGCTGTTCACCTGGGCCAGTCATCCCCACACACTCAGCTATGCACTCAGGCAGCCAGTTTGCTCCCCCAAACTGGGTCACAGCAACTGATTTCACAGGACACAGGTGGGTAGGTGGGTGTTGGGAGAGGCATACATGGACAATGAGCAGACAGAGGCAAGGGAATTGGGCGGTTCCCTGGGTCCTTGGACATGGTGTGGGGACCCTGCAGGTTCCATGCAAGGGAGAAGCAGTTGGCCATCCACTGTGTTAGCTCAGGGCCATGGCCGCCCTTCCCCTCCCAGGGGAGGAGGAGAGAAGAGCCCATGGCACTCCCAGACACTGGCTAAACCTCTGTGGAGACACAACAGGAGCTCCCTTGTTCTGGTCAACACCATGCCAGACGTCATCTCAGACACTTGACAGGGAGACCAGACACTGGTCCTGGCCCAATCCCAGCAGAAACATCTGATCATCTGATTAAGCCTGATGAGCTTGGGCTTCACTCGCATGAGCTGGGAAAGAGAACAGCAGGCCACCCTGCTATGTCAGAGCAAGGGTGGGATGCCCAAGGGGGCGGGAGCAGATGGGATGGGGAGGGCAGACACAGCCCCAGGGTGGGACTGGGGGGGTGCATTTCCCAGCATCCCTCTAGCCATATCCATTCCTGGGATCCCCACCAGGAGCATGGCTCCTGGGCAGTGCTGTCTGGGTGTGTGGCCGAGGACTCTGTCATGCCACTGTCTCACAGTGTCACTGGGACAGAGAGAAAAGTTTCCTGCCAGTGCCATGAGGGGCCTCCCAGTGCTGATGGCCTGTGACTCAGCTGGAGCCTCTGGCCTTTCAGATGGGCATCTTGGGAATCCAGAACATTTCTCTAACTCGAGAGTTTGAGACGTGGCAGTGACATCGGTGTCTCTCTGACTCATGGACCTGCTGGCAGGCTGGCTGACTTTAGGACCATAAGTCTCCTAGGACACATCTGAAGGAGCCAAGGGGTATATAGGAGGGGAATGATCAGGGAAGGAGGGTTAGCTTAGGAGAACAGATCATATCAGCCTCGGAGTCCCACACGTGGCTCAGCTCACGGCTGCAGAGCAGGCCCAGGTATGCTCTGGAGAGATGGAGGTGTGAGGTTGAACCCCCCATGGTGGGTGGGAAGCCAGGTTTTTGATGGGCTGCAAGGCCCTGTCATCAGCATGTGGTACCCATGGCACCACAATGCTGTATTGTGTCCCTGGCCACTGAGCCTTTGGTGCTAGCCGTGCTTCACAGCTATGGGCAGCATGAATACCACTTCCCTCATTTCCCAAACACCATCCTCCCTCCGGATGCTGCTAGAGTGGAAGGCACAGGCTGCGCACACGCGTGCAGCTACCGTGGGACAGTAGTGATGCCACTGCCGGGTCTCTCAGCAGCACCCCCACAGCCAGATAGGAATCTGCTGGCAGCATTCTCTGCTGGGAATACAAAGGACAGTTAGACACACACACACACACACACACACACACACACACACACACGACTCCCTGGGAAACTCCAGCCTCAGGTGGGATAGTCTGTGGATGAGAACATTCTAGAAACTAGAAGCTCAGCTTCCTGGGAACAGAGCTGACCGCCTGCCCCCACAGCAGCTTGGGCGGGACAGCCAGGTGGAGGCCCAGGGTGTGCCCAGGGTGTGCCAGGCCCTGCTCTGCCCCTCGCTTCTGCTGATGACTGAGGCTTTGTCGCTCACCACCTTCTCCCTCTCCCTTCTTGCTTGTAGCAGTGTGGGGTTTGGGCCCCACCCTGAACGGTTCCTTCTTTCCCAGGGCCTCGAGCAGGGGAGCTGATGGAGCCACAACCAGAAGGCCCCACATCCAGAAGGGTTCTTGATTGCCAGCATTGTTGGACGTGACAGTGACTGCCCCCACCCACGCCATCCCTGGGGAGCAATGGCGCCCTCTGTCCTTCCTTCTGAAAGCCTTGCTGGCTCCCTTGTTGCACCTGCTACCCAGGCTAGCCCTCACTCCCACCTGTCTACTGCCAGGTGACCTCAGCGCCAATCACCTGCTCCTGACTTCTCCCTGGGACTCTGCAAGGCCATCACCTTGACTTTACCCAGCAAAATGTCTGCCAATCTTACATACTTACTGGAGAGGCTTGTATGCCCCCGATGCATACAGGACCAGGGCACTGGCCTGCCCTTCTGCACCTACACAGCTTTGTCCTCTCTGGCCCGACACACACCCCATGCTGCCATGGCCACAGTCACATCTTGCCCCTAGCTTCTGCTCAATCCACGCTCCCTTTGCCCTGCTCCTTCTCCTGAGCCCAGGAGTGCCATGTTTGTTTGTCCTCTGAGTATTTAACAGAGATTTCTCTTCTCTTCTCCATGTGGGCAAAGAGGCCCTTTATTGTGTCTAATACGGGCCTAGGCCTGAGGATTTGTGCTGGGGATGGAGTTTTGGGTTTCTGTTGGACATGGAAACTGCCAACGATGGCAGCGAGCTGTGGGTAGGGCAGGGCTGGTATGTCCTCCTGGGCTGAGCTCAGCCTGTGACAGTCTGAGAAACCTCCATTCACCCTTGACCTGGCTGACAGCTGTGGGTTGGCTGAGTCCAGGGGGTCCTGTTGTGGTGATAGACAGAAGCTGCCTGCTCTTTGCAAACAAGGGTAGGTACGTGCTGGGCAGACCGAGATGAAAAGAGAGCCTGTGTCCCCAGCTATTAGCCCATTTTGAAGCGAAGCTTCTGCCAGGAAGGTGGAGCCGCCGAACCGGCTTGGCAGCAATCACACCCTGCTCTGCTGTGCCCTGTAAGTTCCCACCAGGGCCACCTGCAGCAGTACCTCTCCCCATGCCCTTCTCATGGGCACCCAGCTGCGTGGGTCCTGGTGCCCCTCGGGCCTGGGGAGGGCTCTCCTGAGAGAGGACCTTGGCACCAAACCCCTCGAGAATAGATGCTCCCCCTCCACCCTGCTATTTTCCGAGCACCTGCCATGCCCCACTCTGTGCCCACTGAGGGACTGTCCAGCCGGGGGCACTCAGCAACCCCCTTGCATCTGACCAGGTGTGGGGTGGTAGGTGCAGCTCTGGTTTCCAGAGGCATCTCTGCTCTGGCCCTTGCAGGGATCTGAAGGAGCAGGTCTTCTCCAGCAAAGTGCCTAGGAGGGGGCCTGGGTGTGGAGAGAGCCCCAGAGGGGCAGGGGTGGCTGCCGACTCAGCAGTGTGTGTCAGCATAGCAGCCAGCAAGGCGTGAGTCACCAGGGGTGAGACTTCCATGCTAGGAGGGCCTGATAGCTGTCCCTCTGGGCACTGCTCTGTCATGAGAATCTGGGGGTCCCGCCCTCCTTTCTCTGCAGTCAGGCTGCATGACCAGGGAGGCCCACTGCTCAGGAACACCCACTTCTGGGCTAAGAATAGTCTCATTTTGGCCTTGGAAGAGGCTAAGCCTCTGGGCAGAGGCTCCAGTGGCTGTGATGTATTGGCAACTCATAATGCCCATTCAGGAGACAACCCTGGGAGCCATTGGGCACCCTCTGTGCACTCCCAGATAGTGGCCAGTGATGCCCAGCTCTGTGTCTGCTGAGGGCGGACATCCCAGCAGACATGTGACCCATGCTAGGTGTGGATGTGTCTTGCCCCTTGCATTTTTAGGATGTGAAATAGATCAAAGTTCTAACACTCCCTCCCAAGGGTCTAGACATTATCGAGGTCTGGTTAAAAAAAAAATTGAAGAACAGAAATGGGCAGGCCAGGATGAATAAACAGACACATGACGTGGATCATGGAGACAGGATTTTTACTGGATTAACTGGACCCCG